CCAAGTTTTGCCCATCTACAATCTTTTTTTTTTCTTTTCTTTTTAAAAATTTAATCGTGGTGGTAAAAAAAACACATACCATAAAATTTACCTCCTTAACCATTTTTAAGTACACAGTCCAGTAACGTTAAGCATATTCACAGTGATGTGTCATAAATCTCCAGAATTTTTCCATCTTGTGAATCTGGAAGTTCATATCCGTTAAACTAGCACTTCCCATTTCCACCATTCTGCTTATTTTTACATAGTTGCGCTCCTCATTACTTTTTTCATGTTTATTTATTTTTGAGACACACAGTGAGAGGGAGAGAGAGGGAGAGAGGGAGGGGCAGAGAGAGAGTTGGAGAGAGAGAATCCCAAGCAGGCTCCACACTGTCAGCACAGAACCCAATGTATCCTCACTACTTTAAATATACACGTTCTTTTATGGTACACATTTTCTTGGTTTTTAAATGTAAAATCTCCCTTGTTTTCCACTGTGATTTGTGGATAATATTTTATGACTATCCCTCCTGCTGGACAGGTGCCGGTTATCTCTAGCTTGGCCCTGCAAGACAGTCGTACTGTCCTGGGGGCAAAACCAAACAGCCTTGAACGGCGTGGCCTCTGGGAGGAAGGACGGTGGAGCGTCTGGTCCGGAGAGACCCAGGCAAGAGGGCTTCTGGCTGGCAGCTGGTTCGGGGGACAGGGCTGACCTGCGGAGAGGTCATCACCTCTAGCTAGTTCAGCCTGAGAGTGCAAGCGAAAGAAAACCCTCTCTGCACTGGGACGTCATTCCAGCCAGCGGGGCTTTGGGGCAGGGTGGGGCACGGAGCTCGGACAAGGGTAGGGACTGCCAGTCCCCTCTCTGCCTCATCAGACTATTTGCCCTGAGGATGTCCTTTTATAGGAACGGGATTACTACGTGAAAGGGTCTGTCACCCTCATTTTTCTGAGAGGAACGAATTAGCAATAAGGAATAAACAAAAACCCCCAAGACACTAAGGGCAAGCCATCTGGTCAGCTTCACACCCCAGTGGTGGAAAAGCCAAGCATTCTTCTAGGCTGGAGCTCTGCCCACAGAGCTTTGTCTAAACTTAGCAGATTCTCCCCCCATGCTTGGCTCTGATGCAAAATTACTGATTGTTAAAACCGGCATACAGTTCTTGCACTATAAACACAGATCCGATGAAGGGACAAGTCTATAGAGGGACTTTATGAATGACAGCCCTTGCTTTTGTCATAGACGCAGCCATAGTCTGGGGTTTGCCCACGCAGAGCAAACGAGAGAATATATACGCCATTTGGCTAGAAAGTGATGTCTGGTGTTCTCTGCGGCAGGGAAGCTTGCGGAAAGCACCGTGCTGAGACCCAGCGGTGCTCACACGCTCCCCCAGCCAGGAGCCGACCGACACGGAGACTGACACCCCCCCCCCCCACCTGGACCCTGTGCCTACCCTCACCTCCTTCCAAGAGCCCTCCCCTCTGGCCTCCTCTCTTGACTGGGGACTTCCTGGGCACCCAGATGCCTAGTGTGGAATCTATTAGTGACGCGTATCGGTTGGTTTGCTGCTTTGTAAACATCCTTCTACTGTCGAGAACTGCCGTGAGGTCCTCAGACACAGGCTGTCTCTCATCCCCCAACTGCAATGACACGCCTGGATTCGAACCATATTATTACCGGCAGATTCTGCAATGCCAGATTGTTGAGGGCTCCCTTAGGAATGAAGACGCGATTTGATCGGAAACCAGCCCCCCAAAAAGGCTTTCCTTCCCTTTTCTTTAAGCTCCATGAAGGCAGGAAATTTTTCCGCCTTGTTCCCGGCTGTGTCCCTGTTACCTAGAAGGGTGTCTTGGCCGAAGGAACCAAACGAATCAAGGAACGAATTAACCTGCAGGTAATCTTCTGGTACCGCCACTCCTGGCCGATCGCCACTCACTGCACGAACTTAGAATCAAGAGTCTTTGCAGGAACGTTTCAAATGATTAATTCAACCAGAGTTGCACTCAGTCTGACCGCACACGTTTCCGGGACTGGCTGGCAGCTGCTTGTGCTGAGGAAACTACGCGAAGTCTACCAGACGGCAGGCATTTCGGGTTCTTGTATCCTGCTCTCGGGTGGTCCAGCACATCCTAGATGAGCTTCTCTGGCGGCAGCTAGGCTTTGCGAACTACGGCAAGCGGGCACGGCTGCTGGCCTGGGGTTGGCTCTGGCTACGGGGCTGGTACGCTACTGGGGTGAGAAGCCAGCGGGAGGGGATGGGTCACTGGCAAGCGGTTCTCTAGGCTCAACTAGGAGAGATTTACCGGCAGCACGGACTCCCGTGGGGCCCCGGCAGAGGCAGACGAGCCCTCCCTGCTCCACCTCGGCGTAAAGGAAGCATGGCTGCCATCGTCCCAGTGCCGCAAAGGCTCATCGCCCTCAAGCCTTGGCAGGAAAAAAAGGTGACACTGGTTTTCAGTAAGGCACTGTCCTTCAGGGAGTAGATCTCATTAAAATGTTGAGGGCACCCGAGCCCAGGGCGGCGCCCGCACACACAGGGCGATGGGGTCCCCCTGACCTGCCACCACTTCCAGTGTGTACGTAGGGCCACAGGATCGTGGCCCTAGTGTGGGTTCTCTGTGCTCTCGAGGATGAAGTTGCCTCTTTGTCTCCTTACTGTACGAGGTTGATGTGATAATGAGTAAGTATGAGTGTGAAGATCTCTGAGGTCTCAAAGGAAGGTGATGTAGACTGTCTGCAAAATGCACGGCACCTCACAGAGTCTAAACTTAGCAGATTTTAAGCTCCCTTCGCGTGAGGGCAAACCCCTTAGTTCACCAACCGCACGGATCATATGCTCTTGCCAACAGCAGATGGCGCTGCTGCAGCAAAAGGAAAAGAAGCTGCGGTCGTTTAAGATCTTGTGTCTCGGTGGGAAAAAAAAAAGAAAACAAACTTGTCCTACATCCTCCCACTTATCAAATGCTGTGCTCTCTGGACACAAAGTCTGTGCTCAGAGCACTGGGTTTAGAAAGGGACTCTGGTGATTCCAATCTTACAGGTGATAGAAGGCTTGCTGAAAACCGGACCATTTGTCAGGCGAGAGCAGGCAGGGTCCTCGTGTCAGGACCCGTTCCCTTGAATCCTGTGGTAGGGACCTCACTCTCTCAGCGACTTGGTTAACTCCGGTTACATAACAGCTATGAATTGGGAACTGGATATTTCTAGCCAAGATCAAGGGACGTGTCCTTTCAGCTGGCTCTCCGGAGCACAGAGGGCAGTGAACGGGAGGATTCCCGGCAGGAGGATGAGGGGTATCTAGCATCATCACTTCGGCCCATGATACTAGAGCTGGAGGGGCCGCTGAGGTCCCCAGGCCCAGTGGCTGCTAAATGTGGCTAAATATCAGAAGTCACTCGTGGAATGTGTCCAAATGCAGATTCCTGGCCTCATGCCCCAGATTCTAGAGTCCAAATCTCCAGGGCTGGGACCCAAGAAACTGGATATATTTCTAAGATGGTCCCCCGAGGGGTTCTTTTTTTTTTCTTTCTATTAATTGGCTTTATTATATTAAATAAACATATCTATTCATGGCAAAGTTACTTTTTTCTTTTTTTTTTTCAATATATGAAATTTATTGTCAAATTGGTTTCCATACAACACCGAGGGGTTCTTAATGCAGTGAAACTGTCACCAGTTCACCAGACTGGTCTTTGTGACCCACTAGCGTTACCTTCTTGTCCCACCATGAACGATGGTCATTGTTGGTCACTGGCGGACTCTCTACGTCCCTGCCCTGCACACGTGTGCACTCCTCTGACCCTCACAGCGGCACTACGAGGTAGGTACAATTTATTAGTATTGTCTCCCCACCGTGCAGGCGAGGAAAACTAGAACCCAGGCCTCGGCCCTAGAACTCAGGAACGGTTCCGTCAGGGATGTTTTTCAAGTCTTCTTTCGGGCCCATTTAAATCCTCCTTTTGGCCAGCTTAACGCCTCACGGGCAGAGGCTGAATTCTAGGCTTGCATTTGCCCTTTGGCTGTGACGGCTTCAAATTCCAGTTAATATGTATCTTTGGAAACAACAGACAGCCTCTATCCATCAGCAAATGCCGAAACAGGTTTAAGCAGCATTTTGAGAGATAACGGGAGGCCAAAAGGAAGGAATCATTTGTTAACTATAAGGACTGTTTGGTATTAGGTCGGATCAATGACGGAGACTTTTTTTACTTTCTTGTGCAATACTTGATTTCCTCCAGAGATCTTTAATGATTGGTCATACCCATGCGTTATACAAAAGCCATTATCATGAAGAGAGAGTACGGGAAAAATGTGAATGCATTTGAAGAGTCTGGAGAAGTGTGCGTGAATGACTGAGCGTGTGTGTGTACTGGTTCTCAGGAGATCTGGGGCAGCACTGATCTTGAGGGGGAGTCAGAGCAGATGATAATGTGCTCCTAGGGCTCATCCTGCGGGGCTCTGTGGGCAGGAGACTAAGGGGTAAGATAAACCTTTATCTAGCAGGTCGTCTCCCTTGTGGTGATGTCTGGGATGCCGAACGGAGACTAGTATTTGAAGGTGAGGGCGCAGATTCCACGGTTTCTACAGATCCTTCCCCATGTCTTTTGAGACTCAACTCTTCTGTAGGCAGGACGGATCTGGGGTCATAAGACCCCGCTCCCAGATTCTGGGTTACCCGTCTCGTGTTCTTTGGTAAACCCACAGTTCTTACAAAACTCCTGCAGCACGAACAGATAAAATCACCTCGCAGAGACTCCACAGGGAAACCGCGGCCTATTCATTTACAGATCTGATTGCCGAGTACAGCTGCGGATCGGGCTTAAGGAGTCTGGTAAGACAACTCCCATGTGTGATGTGGAAGCAAACCAAGGTGCCTCCAAGGCCCAGACACTTCCACGGTCCCTCTGGTCTTCCCAGACCAGCGCTGGAGCACTGACTGGGGCACCTCAATGAGCGGAGCGCAAACCAAAGACCCCGACGGGGGAGAGAGGCAGGAGCAGGCGGGGAGGCCACTCACCTCAGCGCGCTGTACCCCTGGCACACGCTGACACAGCACAGGACCTTCTCTTGGTTGGCCTGAATCTCCCCCAGGTATTTACACACGATGTTACCGCCCAGGCTGAAGCCCACGACGACCAGCTGGGTCTGGGGATAGGTCTTCTTGATGTAGTTTACCATGGCTCCAAATTCCCAGGTGCAGCCTGTGGGCAGAGAGGGAAGGCCACTCCATCACTGTAGGCGCAACAAAGACTGGAAAAAACGTGAGCTGGAGGGTTACTAAATGGGTGCTAAGATAGTAACAGAGAGAGCGGGGTGTGTGTGTGTGTGTGTGTTCAGAGAGAGAGAGAGAGACAGATATACAGACAGACAATTCTCTTGGGCTACCTGGAGAGAAGTTTCCAGATGCTCCTCAGTAGGGAGGAGACGCGGTCTTAGTAGGGCCCATGAGGAGAGGTATAGACAGATGTATCAAACAGATGTGCAATGCTCTTTGAAGGTGGGTTGTGGAAAAACGTTCTAGATGCACATGGAAATCAAAACAGATATTCATGGGGCACCTAGGTGGCTCAGTCGGTTGGGCGTCCAACTCTTGATTTCAGCTCAGGTCTTGATCCCAGGGTCAGGGGACCAAGCCCTGCATCGGGGTCCGTGCTCAGCATGGAACCTGCTTAAGATTCTCTCTCCCTCTCCCTCTGCCCCTCCACCACTCGTACTCTCTCAAAAGTAGAAATAAATAATAATAAATACATAAACAAAACAGGTATTTAGGGCGTGCGTGAGCACATTTGTTCGCACACAGACATACACGAAAGCAAGAGCAAAACCCTTTGGGATTAGCTTCTCAGGCTCCAAAACATGACTCTATACCCATGTGTACAATGACTCATGGCGTTAAGAAAAGTACCAAGTGTATGTTATTACAGGATCTTCTTGTCAGCGTGGGGGAAGGACGGAAAGACAAATTCAGTCCAGCGGGACGGCCAGGATGCTCTATAGAATAAGGATAAAATGTTTTTGGTGACGTAAGGACAGAGCGCCGAGGGAGACGGACGCATTCAGAAGGACACAGAGGAGACCTCTGCACGGAGGCGGCCTTGTTTGCCCAGGAGGGATGGTCTCAGCTGGCTCCACGGGGAAGCCTGCGAAGCCGTGTTCTGCCTCAGCAGCTTTGCTAAGACGAGGAGGGTAGTGCCCTACGTGGGTGAAGGGGTTTGTCACATCCTTCTAAGACCCAGCCCCAGGCTCTTCAGGGAGCCGACTTAAAATGAAACCTAACAGGGAAAGAGGGATGTTGGCAAGACGTGTGCACACGACACATGGCGTGAGGAGACCGTGGATTTATCACGGAAACACAGGGCGCCTGGGGGGCTCTGTCGCTTAAGCATCTGACTCTTGGTTTCGGCTCAGGTCATGATCTGACAGTTCGTGACTTCGAGCCCCACACTGGGCTCTGTGCTGACAGTGTGGAGCCAGCTTGGGACTCTCTCTCTCCCTCTCTCTCTCTCTCTGCCCCTCCCCTGCTGGCTTGTGTTCTGTCTCAGAATAAATAAATAAACTTAAAAAAAAAATTTATAATGGAAACACGAGTGGTTGACCTTGGCACCAGCTCAGAGGTTTTGACACCCCTAATGAGGGCTGAACAGCTTCTTCCCTAACCAGCAGGCCATGGGCCAAGTGCCTCTCACAGCTTCTCACAGAGGGATGCGGCCCAAGCCAGTCCAGCACAGCCCGTGCAGGGGTTCTCAAACCACGATGTGTATAGAATCGCCTGGAGAGAGAGGCTGTTAGGAATGGGCATCTGTGGGCTTCGCCCCCAGAGAAGCTGACTCAGTAAAATGAGGGCCAGGCCCAGGAACCTGCATTAAAATTTTTTCAGAATAGGTAAAACATGCACCTGGAACAAAATTTAAATAACGTTAGAGATGTGGTCACAGGTAACTTCTAATATTCTCTTTAAAAATATCAGTGGTAACATACAGATTATTTAGTAACCTTGTGTACTGTTTCTTTTTTTAAACAATATATATGTCTTGGAAAACACTATTTAACAATACACAGAAAGCCACCCTAATTTTTTTTTTAAGTAATCTCTGCACCCAACATGGGGCTCACACTCATGATCCCAAGATCAAGAGTCAGACGCTCCACTGACTGAGTCAGCCAGGAGCCCCTGCCCTATTCTTTGTTATTTTTATTTAATGAGGCATAACATAATACTCATGAAAGTGCACAATGAATTTGTACATGCTTACACCCATGTAAACATTGCCCAAACCATTTCAGCCATTGTTTAAATTACTTTAAACAAGGGGCGCCTGGGTGGCTCAGTCGGTTGAGCGTCCGGCTTCGGCTCAGGTCATGATCTCACCGTTCGTGAGTTCGAGCCCCGCGTCAGGCTCTGTGCTGACAGCTCGGAGCCTGAAGCCTGCTTCGGATTCTGTGTCTCCCTCTCTCTCTGCCCTTCCCCCATTCACACGCTGTCTCTGTGTCTCTCAAAAATGAATAAACATTAAAAAAAATTTTTTTTTAAAAAATTACTTTAAATAAGTAATTGTAACTTAAGACTTGAAAAGGCCAATCTAGGTTTCTAGATTTTCTCCAAAGCTTCGATGTGATGGCGTCGATCTGATGGCACATTAGAATCACCCAGGGATCTTGTAAAACAACACCAATGCTTGGGTCCTCCCCAGACTAATTAAATCAGAGTATCTGGGGGTGGGACCCGGGCATGGGAGGTCTCGCACAAGATCTGTAGGTGCTTCCCAAGTGCAGCCGGGGCTGAGAACCACTGATATAAGGGACAAGGACCTCCGTGGCTCAGACAAATATGAAAAAGCAGATTTAAAAAAAAAATTTTTTTTTTAATATTTATTTAGTTTTGAGACAGAGACACAGCATGAACAGGGAAGGGGCAGAGAGAGAGGGAGACACAGAATGTGAAGCAGGCTCCAGGCTCTGAGCTGTCAGCACAGAGCCCGACGTGGGGCTCGAACTCACGAACTGTGAGATCATGACCTGAGCCGAAGTCGGATGCTTAACTGACTGAGCCACCCAGGCGCCCCTGAAAAAGCAGATTTTGAAGCATACTCTCGCTCTGTCTCTGGGCCATTCATTTTCAGACTTTCCTTTCCCTTCCACTTGCAGGAAGCAACTTTCACGTGTGGAGGCATTGCTCTGCCTTTTGGAAGCTTCTGGAAGCAGGGCTGTCGGCCTGGTAACAGCTTTCTGCATATTTCCTCAAAGCCAGGTTTCTACAGGGGGTGAGTCTCTGCTCTACACAGCCAGGCACCTCCTCTAGGTCTGGCAAACTCCAGTCTTTAAAGCACATATCAAGTGCTTTCTGGTAATCTTTCTTATAAAGAGTGAACCAGAAAAGCAGCATCGAGGTTAAATCACTGTGAGATTTAAGCGCTAGCGATAGCCCAGTGGTTCTCAAAGTGTTGTCCCTGGGCCAGCAGCAGCGGCATTGCAGAACTGTTCAAAATGCAATGTCTCGAGATCGTGACCTGAGCCGAAGTCGGACCCTTAGCCGACTGAGCCACTCAGGTGCCCCAAAGATTTTAATTTTTTAAAGTTTTATTTATTTATGTAATCCTGCACCCAAGGTGGGGCTCGAACTCACGACCCCGAGATCTAGGGTCACATGCTCCGCTGAGTGAGCCAGCCAGGTGCCCCCTAGGCCTGTCTATCTTTACTCAGGTTGAGACTAATTACCTGAGACCTAGAACAGATGTTCAGATGTCACTGTGGCGGTTACAAAACTCAGATCTGTTACACTACCGAGAAGCAATTACAGCTAATAGTGGAGACACCTCGGGAGCCTCAATTTAATTAAATCCAAATACATCTGATGTGGATGAAGGGCCAGCCCTGCCTAATGCTGGACAAGCTGTTTGGATGTTGTGTGAAAAGCTGCCTTCTCTCCCAGGCAAGGGCATGGTGTCGGCCCAGCTCCAGGCTCTGCCTTCTGGGAGGCGCCGGGTCCTCCTGGGATTTCCACCTGACGACAGTTCCCAAACATCCTCAGGGACTGGGAACCGCTCCCCGGACTGTTCTAAGAGCTACAGGATCTGTTTTTTCATCTCAGGAGGATTTTAATGGGGTTCTATGTATTTAATCCTTGTGGGATTAGCACTGGTAACAAGATTTAGGTATCTAATCTCGTTGAGCTTTTAAAAGACAGGACGAAACACGAGCCACTAACCTGGCCTTAGAAAGAGGAGTACCACAAGCCATCTGGGAAAGGCAACCTGCCGAGAACAAGAACGACTTTTCTTCAGCCTCACGCCCCTGGAGAAGGACAAAGCTGAGGCCACCCGGAAGCTACTTTCACGGGAGCCATTTCCCAAGCGGCACCAGTGTGACTAAGCTGGCTCAGAGACAGGGATGCAGAGACTCAGGGCTCCTGGTGGATGGAGACTCTGAGTCACCGTCATCTGTATATTCTCCACGCCAGGCCTGGGCCCAGAACGTGGTGGGTGTGCCACAAATGACAGCACCGTAAGGAGGAGGTTTGAATCGTGTGGCACTCGAGCACACACTACTGGCCAGCGTGACCGTGGCGGGGACGGGCAAGAAGTACCTAAATATCTTCCCCGCTAAGTGTAATCCAAGAGAACGATCTGGTCAGGCTAACAACGTGACTCCTGGTGGCCGTTTGGGGCCAGCGGCCCCTGTCATTTCTCAGTGTTGTGAAAGCCACTGCAAAGCGGAGTCACTCGGGAGGAAAACATCTGCAGAAATTAGAGTGAGAGCCCTCTCTGCGTAGCATGGGAGCTGGCCTTGTCCTTCTCCCTGAAAGATTTTCACGAGTGAGCGCTTTTAGCTCTATTTCCGCAGGCATGTGGTATCTAAAACTATCTTTTCTGTCTGTCTGTCTTCACTTTCTGTCTGAAAGCGAAGTATCCAGATCTGATCCTAGAAGCACAGAGCCCGTCACTGCTTCTCCACAATTCTGCTCTGGGTATTTTCTACCCCCATCACGTTCCCGAACTCTGGGCCCTCAGCACCATCGCCACGCGCGATGACTCCCGGCACATGATCTCGCCAGATGGTTTTCCAAGATGTTTGAGCCTCTGCAAATGCACCACCTTCTCTGTCACGTTCTCCCTCCACCCACCTCCTCCTCCCTCCCACCTTTCCGTGTCCTTCTGCCATGGTAACACTCAATGGTTGCAGAGGCCACACAACTCGTGGTGAT